CGCAGTGGGAAGGGGCCGGCTTCGTTGGCCGGGGGGGCTGGTCCGTCACGGGGGCAGTTCGCCGCCTGCGCCCAGCCTCGCTCCGGTCGAGCCCCTCCCTCTCCAGCCCGCGGCCGGGGGGCTGGCGCCGCTGGCCCCTCCCAGCGAGGCGGTCTCGAAGCAACGCCATCCTGGAAGTCGAGCCCTGTAAACCCGGGTGGGGGGCGCCCCCCATCTGGCGGGGCCGTCTACCAGTAGAGGGGGGCGTTTCCGGTCTGGAAGGGAGGCGCGAAGACCCTTTGCGTGTCGCGGCGGGCGAAGAAATGGAGCTGCTCTGTGTAGGGGAAGTGTACCCATAAATGGTCATCGGATTATCGCTCGCTTGGTTCCTTGCACTCGCTGCCCATTCATTCTAGTAAACGTTGCTGTTTCTGCTCAAAAGAATTTTCCAACTATATGTCAGAGAGAGAGTGTGTGTGTGTGTGTGTGTAAATTATATATAGTTCTTTGAATAGTAGTGTATAAATATTAGGCAGTGTTTCTCAACTTCAGCAACTTTAAGATGGGTGGACTTCAACTCCCAGCATGCTGGCTGGGGAATTCTGGGAGTTGAAGTCCACCCATCTTAAAACAGCTAATGAAGTTCCAGAAGTCAGTTTTGTTCTTAGCTCTTTTACTGGCATCTCCTGCTTTTTTAGAACTGCCCAAGTCGTCTGGGGTGGCGTGCAGAAGCAGTGTACGTGCAGGGTAGCAAACGCTGGTGTGCTTTGGACAAAGGCAGGTGGGTCCCCCTCTTGCTTGGTGAGGGATCTTGGCTTAGATGGAGTTTTGGGCTTAACGAAGAGGTGTAATCCTTCCATCTTCCCCCGAAGGTCAGCACATGGGCCAGCACAGGGATGACAGGAATTGGAATTCACCAATCACACTTGGCCTGCGTGCCTGATGCAACTGTGCCCCACTGTACCTCCCCCTCTTCTCCTGCTTGAGAAATGACCTTACCGGCCTTAGTGCAACAGAAATGCAGGTTGCTCCCTCTGCACAATCCTCTCCCATACGTCTTTGCAACATGAAAGGCATGGAATCGAATCATACCATCCAAGGTGGTAGAAGAGAAAAACGTGGCTCGTGTTACGTTAAAGCCATGGGTTTATTTAATCCTGATTTATAGAATAAATCAGATGGCTTGACTCGTAACTTGCCGAGCTATAAACTGGGCTTGGCAGACCGCAGGGGGATCGGTTCCCACAATTTGCTAAGCAAAAACAAAACACAACAAAACCGCATGATGGTGCGGCGTGGTGCACATATGCATCCATTTTGCATAGTATCTTAGTTGGAAGAAATAATACAGTAGGGAGGGCACAAGAAAGATTTCTAAAGCTTCCTGTAGGGAAGACATAAGGAGAACCTTAATTAAATGGAAACAAATTTTGCAAAATGGACTTGGGGGAATTCCCTGCCGCAAGATGTTGGGTGACTTTAAAAGGAGATTTGACCAACTCATCCTTGGTTCTTGTTCATCGCAGCTAGAGGCTTCCTTCAGAATTAGAGGTAAAGGTTAGGCCCGCGCATTATGCAAGGCTGAGGTTTCTTTAACCATGCTTACCTGAGTCGAGCGCCCTGGTGGGATGTATATTGCACAACACGACAGGCCCTAAGTCAAGGATGGCAGACCACAGCTTGCCAATGTCGGGTCCAGCAGAACTGCTCAGTTTTCAACGGTGGCTTTGAAATGCAGCCCTTGCTGTTCAGCCAGAAAATCAGAGTATCGTTCCAGGAAGGGTGAAATCCAGACAGCCTTGAGTTTGGCATGTCTGTAGATAAAGATCTGTTTATCTATGGCCCTGGATTCCTATATACAAGATAGGAAAGGATTTCCATTGAGGGTAGTCTTGCCCCAGGCAGTGATAACGCTCTTCTGTGCCTGGCCAAGCCGAAGGTGGGGTGGGGGGTGGTTGGGGAATCTGAGTATCTTTCTTCAAAGATTTGGGGTGAGGTCAAGTACAGAAAACACTGGGGGGAGAAAGGGGTTAACTGCTCAAGTGACTAAGATCAAACCTAACTGACCATCTTTCCCCCCCTTTTGAAGGCAAAGACAGGCATGTCTCCATCAGTCCGGCCTTGTGAGGTAGATCGGGCTGAAAGATGGTCTCGGATTAAGATCGCCCAGGGAATTCTGGGGACTCCTCAGTGCTACTCTGAATAATCTGATTTTCTGGGCCACCCTTAGGTTGCGATTGTAGGACAGCTCATCCTTCCTAAACCAGCCCTCCAGCTATGTTCGCAAGATCACGGCCAGCACTGGCCACAATGGAGAATGGAGATGGGGCCTTGTCGCCCCACGCAACGGAAAAGGCTGGTTTACCGGTGCTCCTGAATGTCTGCGCTTCTCACGTTACTGACTTGGCCGCGCCTTTCCTGATGCGGCCGGGGGCCTGACTGTGGGCGTGCCTGGCAAGGGACACAACTTAACTGCGGTGCGCCAGCAGCTTTAGCCACGTGGAAAGACGGAGACGCGTAAGAACGAGGAGGGCCTTGGCGTGTGAAGTTGTGAGGGAGGAGGACCGCGGCTGCTGATTCGGCTTCCTGCGGGATGCGGGGCAATTTCGGAGTGAATTGGCCGGGTGCTGCCCGTTTCCAGAGCAGCAGCCGAGAGTTGCCTGCTCCTGACGTCCGAGGCACATCCTGCTTTCTCACTCTGTCCTGTAATTAACTTGGTTATACAGGAAGTTGGTGTCCCTTGATTTCTGAGACATCCAGGATATGGGGCTGGAGGGGACAGATGTTTAATGCGTGATTGGGCTGAGAGGGGATAGCAAACAGCTGTGTAGCTCAGGCTGCGTTCGCACGGACACGCTGCCCCGAGGTTTCCCCCGCCAGCACAGGACACGCTGGATTAAAATATACCTGGCTGACTTGGGGCTCTGTAGATCACGCGAACACGGACCAAGCGTGGCCTTGTAAAATGCAGCTCTTCAGTGGGCCGCAGGCAGCTTTCGGACAGGCTACTCCACTTCTTACTCTGTCTCCCTCCACTTTTCTGTCCTGCCCACTCGACCGCTCTCCGGGAACTCTTAAGCCTGTTCCGCCTTCCTCAGGAGCGGCTCTTCCTCTCCCTTAACTTAAAGGCACTTGTGAGTTGATGGTTGAGTAAATACCACACGGGAAGATGAGTTTACTGCAAATATGGCATAGGCGCCGCTTGCCTGCTGCGCCATTTGTGCCCGGCGCAAGCGACGGAATCTGCCGCCTGCCCGCTGCGTGCAGGCCTCCGGCTTAAGTCCCCGCGGTAAAGACGGGCGCGTAGAAGTAAACGGTCACCCGGACCCACGAGCTCATCCAAGTTGTTGTGGGCCGCGTGGAAAGGAAGGGCCCCTTTGGCGAGGCTGCTTCCCTCACACCGTCCTCCCTTGTGTTTTGAAAGGAAGTTCTCGCGTGCATTTGCATAATGCCGACTTCGGGCTAGGAACACCCCGTTCTCGGGCGTCCGAGCAAACCGTCTGTGCAGGAGCGCGGGGGGCGGATCGGGCTCTCCGCGGCCCAATCCAAGTGCCACGTTTCGGGCTCCGCCGCAGCGCGAGCGGCTCCTCGAAGGGCAGAGCCACTTTCAAACCGGCGCCCCGCTCACTCGGCAGCGCGAACGCCTTTTGCGGGGGCTGGCCGGGGCCGGGCTTGTGACTGGGG